CATATTCATGTATTCATGGTTACACATGAAGATCCCCCCCCCCAAAAAAAAAAAAAAAATCATCCAAATCCGTTAGCTTGGGTTTGAACCTAGGATGAACTACCAACATTCAGTTGCCTTAATCACTGGATCACTGGTAGAACCTGATTAGATAAAAAATATTTTTATTCAAGTGATGGTTATAAGGAAATTATTGCCAGGAATGAAGCCGACCCAAATTGGTAATACCTCACATGAAAGAAATAAGCTGAAACAAAAAAAGCACCAAGTACTGTGGCTTTAAAATAGTAGTGCAAAAATTTTAACACTTCACATATGTTCCATAATTATGAAATCTTTTCTTGAAATCATGTATATTTGTGAGCAATATTTTTTTTTTTTTTTTTTTTTTTAATATGGAGCAGACAAAATGTAGAATAACAAGTATTTCATTTTAGCATCTTGAATAAGCTTTTCACAGTAACTATCATGTCTGTCAAACTAGGTATTTATTTATTGGAGAAGTCAGACAACAAGAATCAGCATAATATTTGTAAATTTACAAAAAATTATGCTGATTCTTGTTGTTTGACTTCTCCAACAATCATTATTCAGCATGTTATTTTAGCCTAAATTATAGGTATGCATTTGTATTAAAAAATGTCTTGGTGTTCATGTTGAAGTTGATATTACAACTTATCATGCTATCATGTCTGTTAAACTAGGTATACATTTGTAACAGTAGCTATCATGTTTGTTAAACTAGGTATATAATTGTAACAGTAGCTGTCATGTCTGTCAAACTAGGTATGCATTTGTATTAAAAAATGTCTTAGTGTTCATGCTGAAGTTGATATTGCAACTTATCAGGCTAAGCAATGCTATGCTTGCTTGAAAATGTCTTACAAATACATTTTAACTAGATAAAGCATGTAATTGTTGTGCTAACAGTTGGGCCACTTGTCAGCTGCTAAAGTTGGTGTTGAATAATCTGTTTCATTCTTCCCCCCCCTGAATTGTAGATTATGACCCTGTGTTGAAGATATTTTTTCTGTTTCATAAAAAGCTTTAAAATTGCATTACTCTGTTTATTTGATTGTATATATTTATTTGTTACATTAAGTATAATAAATTATATATAATTATTAGGTATTATTAAAATTTATATTTTTTGTATTAAATTAACATTATTATTTCATTTTTGTATTATTTTAAATCTATTTTTTCTGTCCTTTGTTTTTCTGAGAGAAACATTGAGAAAACATTGATCATTAGAAATGGCAGTTACATGCATAATGGGTTGCATAATGGGTTACAGTGCTAAAAGATGGGGCAAACCTTGGTCTACCTGCTAATTGGTGTCTGGTATCAACTTTGAAGGGGACATTAGTAATTGTCGTTGCCCTTTGCTCAGTGTACACAACCTTGGCTAGAAGATATGATCTTGCAACAATAGTTTTTTTTATCCATATAGATCTTAACTGATGGTAGATTTTCTTACAATCTTAATGCATAGAGGATGTTTATGCAATTTTAGAACTAATTCAGGGCCATTAAATTAATGTTTAATATGTAAAAAGTATTTTTTAAAATATTCAGTCTGATAGCCTTTTTCCAGATTATTAGTTTGTATTGTGACTTCCATAATAGAAAGGGCTTTTCATAAATTTGATTTCCATTTCTCTTTCACTACTTTCCAGAGTCCATCAATCATGGTGGGCTTGTGTTTAAAAACAGCTCTTTTTGAGAGACCAAAGGTCCATGGGTGAAACATTGGGGGAACTTCAAAGGAATATGTTGGCAAGGTGTAATGCAATACCTACATCAGTTTTCATTTTTTCAAGGAATGTAGTAATACTTTTTGAAGTACAACTTGTTGCTCTGTCTTGAAAATGTTTCACTGTGATAAAGAAATTGAATTTCTTCTGTAAGTATTGTGCATAAAAATTTCTTTTGATAATACATTGAGTTGATTAACAATTTCCCCCCTCTTTTCTTATTTTTAATTTCCCATGTAAGAGAATAAGTGATATTCATAAACCCCTAAATTTCTTTGCATTAACAGAACCAAATTTTTATATTTTTTCTCTTTGTTTTCAATAGCATATAGATCTTTTGTTGCAGCCATTTAGGTAAACCTGTGCTTCATCAAGTGTCAGAATGTATGTATTTCCATTTATTTCCTGTTAAATAGTACTTTTCATACATGGTTTCATAAATTGTTCAATGTTGTGCCATCTTGCTTGGCAAAAGTTGGCTAACATTATATTTTTTAACTTTTTATAGTTGTAAATCTTGGCCTAATATTTTATTTATTGTTACTAAAGATGTATTTAAAGATTTTTGCAATTGATTTCTGAGTTGGCGAATTTAACATTAGGAACAGTATTCTTTTTTCAGATATTCATTTGAAGCCTTCTTTCCATGTAGAAGTAATGATTGATAATTTTTCCCTTTCCAATTAATGGTATTTTGATATTATTGCAAACATCTTGGTGCAGTTTGGAAAATTTTTTGAAGACAAAAAGTGATAATTTCAAATTAGAGAGAGTTATTTATTTTATAGCATACATATTATTAGGTACATATTTTAATTTTAATTTGATATTTATCTTGGAAAGCAATATATAAAACTACTTAAAAAAGTGGTATCTCTTCCATGTAACTAATTCAGTTTACCACAGTCTTATTGGCCATTTCTAACTTTTCTAAGCAAAATTTCACATTAATGAATTCTTTACTCCAGCAGTATATAAATCTGATTGCTGTAGTAAATGGTAGACTACTATTCTTGAATCAATTCCGCTTTGATTACAGATGTGTTCGTAACACTTTTTCATGTTGCATTTCGAAAAAGGTCGTTTTCCAAAATACATCATCAAACATGAATCTGAACGTTTCTGCCTTTGCAGCAAAATGTTATATTCCTGCAAAAAATTTACAGAACTTTCTTCATTTGCAGGTAAATCCCACAAGAATGTATTTCAAAATTCGGCTGAAAACCAAAAGTATCGCTATTTACGTTTAGAGCTTCTAATGCAACTAAAACAGCATGTATAAAAATGCTTATTCAAACTTACAGTTATCGATATAGTTACCCAAAGAATTGTTATGTGCATGGTTGCTACAGTTTGGCGACTCCTGCCAAGGTGGTTGCGATAATACCAAAGTACCCAATTAATAATGTTGCTTATTTTGCACTTAAAAAGTTTAATACCATGTGTTTCACAATGTTTTTGTATTATTGAATTGGAATATTTCTCATCAGAAAGGGCAACAACATATCCTTCAATCCACATCTTGTTTACATGAGACATTTTGACAGAAGAATTTATTTAAACATAGTAGATAATATTTCTCATTTCAAATAATGAACCGTTGCCTGAAATTTCTACTCCGAAATATTTGCTTTTTTAAAATTCTTTGTTAAGATCATTCCCAAAATATGTAAACATGAAAGATCCAATAGATTGCATACTTCTGAGTGTAGGGTTAATTTGTCTTTAAGGGTTATTTGGTCTTTAAGATTTGACCATATTGATAAAGCAAAATTACATTCTTTATCCATTGGTGTGATTTAATGTGAACTGTCACACTGCAACTCTTGATGTCATCAGTTGATGGGCATTATAATTTTGGCATATTGTGGACTCAGTTTTGTATTTTGCTGAATAAGTTACTTAGAAGTACTTAATTGTATAATTTTATATGGTACTATCATTAAAATTTTGTTACTATTGAGAATTCTTGTGACGTATTTATGAAGTAAATATGTTAATCTGTCACTCATTGTCCTGATGGTGGGATTTGTGTGATAATTTATTATCAATAAAATTTGTGTATTAAAAGTACTTGTACATATCTGAAACGTTAACTACTGTTGTTAAAACATACTTATAACAGTATCTGAAAATGTACCTTTTTGGTACTTTGTACAAAAGTGAGGTCAAAATGTGCTGAATCTGAAAGTTAGACTAATATGTATCTGGCCAACAGGCAATCTCACACTGTCCTGTATGAAAGTGGAGCAACAGAGGCCTCAAAGCCGTATCACATCTAAAGGAATTCAAATCTCAGAATTTAATGACACCTTGTCATAGTTGTGTCAAACATTTATAATGTTCAACATCATTTGATATTTATTACCTGTACCTTTAACTCCAGTTTTAAAATTCATCAGCATATTATGTTGAGGAATTGCCACTTTGTTTCTTTTGTAAGCTTTTCATTCTCTTCTTTTTTCAGATTCATTTTCTGAAAACAAAGTAGTTTTATCAAATTATAAAAATATTTCATTTTGCTATGTAAAAGTTTTCAGTACTTTTTGTTATGCAGAAATATATTGATGTGTGTGTGTATACACACGTATACATATGTATGTACATACAATACATGCATACATAAACACTTCTTAATCCAGTCCCGATAACAGGAAAGTATCAAGTTTTTGTTATTAAGTGTTTGGGTTAATCTTTGAATTATGGTAACTTGGCGATTTTTTGGCGAAAATTTGGCGACCAACCCTGCTACAGCAACCTGCTAGTTTTGGACGCCATTTTGTTTTCACGAAGTAAAGGCATGTTTTTTTTTCCTTCTTCTTTTTTCTTTTTACTCAACATTTTTTCCAGCAATCTGCTAGCCGAATTACGCTTATGCTAGAACTTTTATGGAACAAAAGTGCTTAATCATGATGAAGATTAGGTGCGAAATTGGGAGAAAGTGCAGAATCGCCTACTGCTTGCCGTGTTTTTAAGAATTGCACATACACGTTATCCATGTACACGTCAACCTATTTTCACTTAAAAAAAAAAATCCCAGAATTGCACAAAAATTGAATTGCGCACACTCTTGACTTTATCCATGTACACTGCTAAAGTCCTAGCTAGTATCCTTTATCGCCTTACCAAGATGTCGCCAAACTACCTGTTACCATATTCCAAAGATTAGCCAGTGTTTGTTTAATATGTGTAACTGTAAAATATTTACTTCGTGTATAACCAGATATATATCTTAAATTGTAGGTCCTTTATCATATTTATCGAGCAATAGGCTCTAAACGCCTCCCATTCAGTGATGGCACCATGATTCATTTTGATTCTCATCCTGATCTGATGATCTCCAAAACTCTGAACGCAGAAAAAATATATGAGAAAGATCATGTTTTCAAGTATGTATATTTATTTTTAGCATTTTCAAAGTTTCACAATTAATGTTCTGTTTTTAACTTTAGAGTTATATTTATTTTCTTTGGATAGTAAATTTGATCTTCTTTGCAAAGATTTGAGAGAAATCAAATATCTCCTAAACTGAATCTTAAGTTTACAATTAATTTTATTACAAATCAAACAATTAATTTGGTAATTAAACATATTTAAAATAATGTCTTTTTATGTTGTTGTTATTGTTTTATTGGTGAAACTAAGTATTTTTTTGAAAATTTTGTTGAAATGTTTACTCAGCGTACATTGTCATAAATATATGTATTGTAGTATTAACACCTATAAGAACACATGTTCATTATAATGCAAAGGTACACATGCATTTTGACTGTGTATGCATTTTTAATGTTGTTTACCTATTTTACTATTTAAAAAACATTGTAAGGCAATAAGAAATTAAAGAACATTTAAATTAACAAAGATTATTAAACTTGATTGATAATAAATGTATATCAATACTTTTACAAAAGCAGAAAACTTTTTGTTACCAAACATTGACATTTTATATACTGATGTAATGTTAAGTTCACAAACTCCCTCAGTTCCTTTGCTCAACCAGTGTTGCCAAAATCAGAGCGTAAAAATGCTCATCGGTCAAACTGACCGATGTGCATTTATAGCTGTTAATTCCAAGCGAGAAACTAATTCTTTTGTTATTTTTAATTAATTTTTGACATTATAATCTTAATTTGAGTTTTAAGCTATAAATAATGCAAAAGTACGTGTGCAAATTTTTTGAATCTGTATAACAACACTGCTTACTTCATCCCCTTTAATCTTCATTTTACTATTCACACAGCGGTTTTATTTGACTGCAAGATCTTAGTCTGAAAATTTTTAAATCTAATAGCTGGTGATGGTAGAATTTTAAAAATATATTGTTGCTTATCTGATATGTTGATATGTTAGACGTCCCATGTATAAATCAATTAAAGTGAAAATTAATTTCATGGTACTTCTGACTTCACAGCAACTGTAAAATGTATTAAATGCAACTATTTGCTACCAAAGTTCTAGTAGTATATGATTATAAGACTTTTATATGTAATATCTGTTGTAAATCCAAAAACCATATAATATGTATGCAGAACATAACTCTTACCTTTCTTTGAGCTCCTATTTATTCATTTCCAGAAATATTTTCCACAGTGTTGTTATTATAGCTTCTCTTCTGAAAAATACTGACATGAATTACATGACATAAATAGCTGTGAAATGTGTGAAACCCTACACAAATTTAAAACACAGTAGGCTATTTTCATTTTATTATTCATATTATTGCCTGTCTCTGCAAGAAGTTAGCTATTTTTAGCACATAATTGTTTTCTTTGCAATAAAATATTTTAAATGAAGTTTAAATAGTACTAATACTTAGGCAATAACATTGATTTTTCTCATGATTATTGAATTTGTATTTTGTATAAAGGTTGTTTTGCTGGTTTACATTTGGTCACATTTGCTGCAAAATGCTAGTTTACATTTTTCAAGGAAGATGGCAATTTTTAAAATTAAATAGTACATCTAAGAATAAAAGTAAATCATGTATTTGGGATATAAAATTATGAAAAAAAAAAAAAAAATGCCCCAAATCAGCTTTTACTACTAAATAATGGCTATTATGTAAAAACGATTAGTATAATGTGTATACTAATCATTTTTACACAATAGCCATTAATATTATACTTTATACAATATATAAGCAATACTATAAATTATATTTGTGTATATTTTTATTTTATTTTATTCAAGACACTCACTTAAAGTATTTGGAATTCATAGCACTGAAGGAGAGATTAATTTCTCAAATGAATACTCCATTGTATTTATATCATCTATGCTTAAAATTGATTAATCTTGTTAAATTTTTCTATAAGAAACATATTGTCATGGAAAATTTAAAATTAGAAAGAAATTAATTTAAATTGGTATGGCCCTTCAGCATGGCAGTCAGCGATGCAACCACTATATCAGCTGAGCATCTAATTTGATTTTTATCAAGTATCTATCACCTTAACATTTTTATTATATACAGAGCATTTTAACTTCTGTCGTGACTTTCAGAAGTTATAGGGCATACTGTCGCTCTAAAATATTTTTGGATTCATATGAATATATGAACTATTTTATCTTATTATTCATGCAAATATAGATTTCTTTGTTACAGGGTTGTAAAATAGAATTTCATATAAATGTTGCAAAAAATCAGTCTTATGAGTATTAGGAAAATTTTTATCATAAAATGAAAGATATCCCTGAATTCCATGTATAAGTAACATGATGATGAGAAATTTTCTAAATTTTATGTTTGTCTTAATAAATTGTCATTAAATTGAGATGAAATAAATATTAAAAAACTGTCCTTTCATTTAATATAATTAGTATTTAATTATCACGGGCAATTTCAAGAGTTAATTTTTTAACATGTCGTCGCGGCGCGCAATGAACTGGAAGTTGATCTGTCAGCACTATCCTTATCTTCAGGGCAGACGTTTTTATTTTATTCAGCTTATAATTCCGTGCTAAATGTAGTATTTCATCTCGACGTACTCCGTCTTTAATATGATTTAAATCAAATTCCACGTCATTATAAATATCATGAATACACATCAAGTGGTTTTCTGGTTGCAATTTTCTAATTTCGACTATGCGTAATGTACGCTTTACGCATGCGTGCGTTGAAAATGTTTAATAAAGTAAACAAATAGATATTAAGCTTTTTTTTGTAAATTGTGATACCCTTTAGATCATAATTGCTCTTTATTTCATAAATTGTGGTTTCATATTTTTAATTTTATAATTTTTGCATGCCATCTTACCAAATTTAAGCTGATGATCTATAATCCGGAATCGAAGTCCCGATGAGTCCGGATTAAAGACTTTTGACTGTACTGCTTTATTAGGGCAGTTCTGTTTGACATATAAAAATATATTACCCTATCACCTTTGAAGTAATATTTATCAGAAAATATTCAGTTGTTCCAGTGTACCTGATATTCCTGGAAACATTGGAAGAAGGCTTCTTTTGCTACTTGATGTTAACTGGAAACATTGACCTCCTTGAATTATCTTGAAAAGAAGTAACAACAGGTTCAGAAGGAAAGGAATCTTGCAAATAAAGTAGTTGTGGCAGAATTGAAATCTTTGATCAAAGAAATGCTACTGTCTGGTCGATAACCAGTCCTGAAAATGTGACATTGTGGCTTAAGGTAGAAAAATGCCTTAAATTTGCTTGCATTACAGCATGAACTCCATTCTTCTGGATGATGTTGTTTCAAACATTCTTCTGTAGAAAGTACGTAGATGCCATCTAATGGGTATATTCAATTACTGCAAGTTTCACCCATATGGCAGCTTTTCCATGAACATTTTGAACAGTGGCGTACAGAGAAATATTGGCTCATAAATTTAATTTGTTCCTGAAAATAGTTTGTCATCTAATATATTCATAGACTGAAACAATTTTTCCCATAGGAATTACTATAAAAAGGAATTAATCCATGCTTGGGTTCCAAATGATTGCTTAGAAAAGAGTTCTTTGTATTTATATTTGCAACGCAAAATGAGTGGAATTCAGTAAATCTGACATATACACTGTATTTACATATATACAATATTTAACACAATCATAAACATGAAAAATAGGAAGATGAATTAAATTTTACTATATCTTCATGAAAGAAAGTTGATGATGTAAGTAGAAAGTGGTTAAGAAGCCAAAAGAGCAAAATGTTATTGTTGGACAGAAAAATTATATTCCATAAAAATTTCAGATGACTGCTGTCTTACTGTTTTTTTCCCTTGCTTTTCGTTTTCTCTTAGCATTGCTTATTTCTACTCAAGAATCGCTGAGCTTTTGTCCCATTAAAAATTTATCCACCATAAATGGTTTCTGTCTATGATTTAAAATGTTCCTAAAGCAAAACAGCACTGCCATTGCAAATATTTATGTTGTGGCTTACTACTGTTTCATAAGGGTGAAAATGTTTTATGAACTTTTGCATCTTACCCCATTTTACACAAATTTTGAAGATCAAATAACTAGGAATGTCTTCTCTTCCATCATCTTATTAAGACATTTCCTCCACTGCATTGGAGTACCATTCGTTGTTGGCTTACTTGTCTGTATCTTGAGATATTGTTCATCATCGAAAGACATTTGTCAGTAGAAAAATTGATTTGTTCAATGTCTAAGGCGTTTGTAAACCAAAGTTCCACTGTTTAGTTAAGACTTAAAATATATTTCTGAACATGATGTTAGTTGTCATAATTTTCACTTTATGAAATCTACTCTTAAATAGATTAATTGGTACTTTTGTGTTTCGCTGGCGCAAATCTTGCCAGGCAGACTATTGATGACAACGTACAGTATACACATAAAAAATGTTAGTTCTAAGAATTTTTTATTTTGAAGGGTTAACAAATGTAAGAATTTTTTATTTTCAAGGGATAAACATTTTAATATTGTTTAAAATTTTGTAAAAAGACATTAAGAATTTACTATGTTTTCATGGTACAACATCCTGATTCGCCGGTTCATATCACGTGACCCCAAATGATTTCATCTCGCGTAAACTACGCTACAAAAGTCTAATTCTCTCAATAATTATCTTCATTAATTTCAAGTTAAATCTTAATATGGAATACAAGTTTAAATGTAAGAATTATTTCAATTCATATGAATAGCTTACTCAGAAACTATGAAATCACAGTGCTTTACTTCGCTAGTGCATTCGCATTATAATTGATGAATTTAACCCTTGATTTTGCCTTTTCTATACTTTTGCCTTCGGGTGAGCTGTGTGATTGCATTCCCATCGACTTAATTACCGCGAATGACCTTAGGGCATAAAATTTAACTATCTGTGTAAAAATTCTATGTAATTGTATGCTAGTATTGAAAGAAACAATCAATCTGATAAGAAGTGGCTGCGATTTGTTTTGAAAATGA